AAGTTGGGACAATATGAGATGACGTCATATAAATGGCGATGAAAGATCATGAGGGAACAGGAAAGATGTAAACGGTCAAACATGGGTCCTCCGCACTGCGGGAAGTAAGATAACTAGCATTGTAACCAGATACTTCGGTCCGGCCAGAATGCAAGGTACTGCACGAGTGCACAGAAAAGAGGGTGAATGAGGCTGACTAGGCCTCTCGACGGGGAGAGACGATGCTTGTCCCGTGGTGACGACGAATGTCGTAGCAGTGCTAGGGCTGCCGACATCGGGAAAATGATCGAATGTCGTGTCTTCTCTCTGGCCTGGAAACGAGGATGCCAAGGAATTGGCACGCTTCAGGTCGGCGACACTGGATCGGGACGTTGTGGACAGGGAGGACCGAATCGGTCATCGAGGCGATGCCGACCCCGAACTGGATGGGCAGGGAAAGAGCGAGCGGCGTGGGCTTAGCCTTGATCTTCGGCTCGCCAAAACGACAATGGGACGGCGAGGGAGTAGAGTGCTTGGCAAAGAAGCCACTACTGGGTCGCTGGAGGCCCAAAAGCCCGCCAGCGGCCCAGAATTTGTCGGCGACAGCATGATAAGCATCCGCATAGTGCTTACGAGCCTCCGCTGCAAATCGAAGAAAGCGAAAGCGAAAAAGACCATAGAGCACATGGGGCTTAGCCAGCGTGTGAGCTCGATGCCCATCCTGGTGCCCCGGTCCGCAGCCCAGATGATGCGCGGAATCTCCTCGACACGACCGAAGTCAAAATGAGCACTCGCCCACGAGACCCATGGTGAAAACAGGCGAGGCGGTAGCATTGATGTAAATGGCCAGAGATGCCAGGGGGACCGTAAGCATGAGGTCCATAGAGGCAAGTGCACTGAGACGAAGGTAACGAGAAGGAGTGAGGGCATTATGTGCGGACAGGACTGATTAAGGCGGCACGCCGTTGAGAAAAGGCTCGAAGAGAAAGCACTGGGTCATCCTATCAATATGAATGAGCAGAAGCAGAGAAGATAACCGCACCACAATACACGGCCGAGACGAGCCCAATGATGACCGGCCACATGGCAGAGATGAAGTAAGCCGGCAGAGTATTGAAGATGGCGGGGTAACAGCCGATGTCTTCGAAGATGTTGAAGCGATGGCCTGGACAATATACTGGGCGCCAACGAAGACGGCAGGAACACGCCACAAATCATGGAGTCGATGAGGACCGTTCTGCGTTTCTGCCCGGCTGAAAGTCAGCTCCAGATTGATTTCACCGACACAGAATGCGCACCTCAGCCTTGGTGACAACGACAGACCGCACGATAGCGATATTGTACAAACGACGATTGATGCACAGCGATGCAGCTGGCAATCCTACTGAGGCGCCCATGATGATTCGGATAGCTGTGACCAATTTGAGTGGAGAAAGAGAGAAGAAAGGCAAGGCGCACAAATCTCACACCAGGCAGGTGCGACGTTGAGGGTGTTCCAGCCCATACCAAGGAGTTGACGAAAAGATTGAGGCAGGACAGAGACGACCAGAATATGTACCAGCATGTACCAGAGTTCCACGCTGCATGTGCCAGGACAAGGGAATCAACGGAAGGACAAAGCCGAGACAGGCGAAGATGGAAAACGCAGGATAAGTGGGGTCGGTGTGGTGGAACCGGAGCATAGCTGCAGGTTGGTTGTAGGAAGAGACGAGAAGAAGGGAGAGAGAGGGGGAGCGAAGCGCAGTCTTCTGCAGTCGGCTCTGGCATTATAAAGGTCCCTTTGTTCTCTGCTTTTGCCACCTGTCGACCCGCATTGTAAGAAGATGTCACGCACACAATGGGTCACGCCCATTGTCACATTGACAGCTATGACTGATGGCTGATGGCAATCCTGATTGTTCGGGCGACTGGGTCGCGCTTGCGGCAAGCGTATCTTGGGTAATGAATCTGGCTTTTCGATAATTCTAGAGTTTCCCACAGGTAGTGAGCTGTGTTGGATTTCCCTAGAGTTTAGATTTCCGTCCTCGGTTGATGAAGGCACGATCAGGCGCGTTGGGCAAGTCGTGATCTTCAGATACGAAAGTCGATGATCGCGGGTCCACGTGGACAGCCATGATCGGATCCATCGGTAACATTTACTAGACCGGAAACAATGCACGAAGATGATTTGAACTCCGCACCATTGTTAGCACGTTGCCGTGAAAGTCAGTTATAAAAGGACGCGAAATTAACAGACATTCCGCCAATTCTTCTTCCGAGCCTTTGCTGCCAATAAGGATTCCCTACTCCAAATCACGCATCTTCTGCTATTCGCCATGGACGCATTCACCTCCCTCGACTCCTTGGAAGCTTTCCAGAGTTCAGCTCTCCCTGATGTCCACCATACTATCGTGATTACTCATGCTGTCCCTTGTGACGAGGAGACCCATCTCGAGTCCGGCCAAGCCGGCATGTGCACGATTTCCTGAAGAGAGTTCGTTCAAGGTTCGCTGCCCCTCCCTCTCAGCCACATCACAATAACAGGCTGCAGCTGGTCTTTGTTCGCTCTCGCTCAAGCGACCCCGTCGCCTATTACCACCCCTATGCCTCATGTCTGTTTCGGTCTTCACCGTACTTCCTTCCTAAACGCCTATGCCTTCAGCTCTAGGAGCGCTTGTAACACACTCATTGCACCATCCCTTCCTCTATCATTATCTACTTAAGTGTATACCATGTATAACTATCCCGTTCATTCACTCTCGTCGTATCCCCTGTGCCAAGTCTCCAATTCCAGAGCATTTATCACACCGCGACAGTCCCAATGAGCCGAGTCGAACATCACAAAGTTTCCGAAACTCGAAATCTTTCCGCCGACGATCCTGCAACCCGAAAGCGGTCGATACATCGCTCGCTACGCAGACCAGAATGTCTGCCATTGTAAGGAAAGTCTTTATCCCTCACAGAAGTTGTCACCTCCAAAGTCGACTGCGCTCGTCAGATGCGACAACCACCGGGTTTAGATCACTCCTAGCCACATCGTTGACAGACTAACCTTGTCGACGGTCCAAGCGACCTCTGGTTATGACATGTGGCTGTATCTGGGCATGTTTGACGTGCTTGCCTTCCCAAAGCTAGCCCATGTGACCTGGCCGTGTCTGATCTCTGTTAGCCGAAGCAGTGCAGTTACCTATGTGTACCTTTGGCTACACGACCTGGCTGATAACTAGCCTGTGGTAAGCCAGGGCTGTGGCTACGCCTAAATGCAGTGAAAATGGCCCGCGTCTGTCTCAGCATCTCATCAATGATCTTAACGCGAAACGAGAAGCGTAGGTTCCTCAACGGCCTGATTGTCGCAAAGATTTAGATCAGTTCTGCGCATCTTATAAGGCATTAGCGAACAGCAAATTCTCGTGCCCAGTAGCGTCAGGGTGGCTTCAACATGGGAAGCAGCGTGTACATGCATGAAGATGCTAGCACTTTGGTGGGACTGAAATTTGGGATTTTTGATGCACCACAAATTCAAGTCCCACCGGAGTGTAGGGATCGAAATACCATGCAGCTATCTGATCAGCCACATAATTTCCCAGGGCAAAATACTATTAAGCCCTTTCTAGAAAATGTGTAATTGTACATCCTCAATTTGTCAACGGCGTGAAAACACGTCCTGCCGAGTCAAGTACTACAACTGAAGAACTTGATCTGCATGACCATGGAGTCTCACAGCTGAATGAGGAGTGCGAATTCTGAAGCGTGTTACGCTGCACAACAATAGGACAATAGGTTCGAAACCTTTCACCTCTTGCGAAGGAGGGTCACAGGTGTGACGAATACAATGGGTCACGTTCAAATTTCTTTGTTTGGTCACCAAAGGCAATCTGTGCCCATTGTTCTGTATTGGCCCCCGACAATGTGGCTGGGTAGGATCCTGTGGCATATAAAGGTCAAGTGAGTCCCATACTGCTGCCATTGCATTAACCACCTACTTCCGGACAAAACCCAAGCCTCATCCACCGACCCACACAATGGATTCTTTCTTTACTACGGACTCCGTCGAGCTCAGCGTCCTTTTCGTGCCAACTCTCTCACCTACCACTGCCGACGTGTCCTCCGTCGAGAATGGGTCTCCAGTTGACCTGGAGACACACAAGGGGCTCACGTCTGCAGACGCTGGCTTCTGTGTCATTGCCTGAACTATCGTGAGCGCAACCGTTTCTTGTTGATCTGTCCCATAATCGTTCCTTTCCCCAGTGTCCTGACACCCCTCAGTTTTAAACTTCGCGGGGGTTTGTGTTTTACAATCGTTGGCTCGTTTTGAATCGCATCGTCTCTGTACGTTTCTATCCTCAGGCCATTTCTACCATCCGACGCTCCTTCAGATCAGCTCGATTGCTTCGATATTTCCCGGCGCCCATACCTACACTCACTCATCCTCTCACCAGTCCCATCTTTCTCTCACAATCAAGCAAACTGTTTCCGTAACCATTTCTCATCTGTCATTGGATATCCTGTATCACTATCATTAAAACTAAATTATGTACTACGTGCTCTTGCAGAATAGCGTAAACTGTGATTGACCGATCCCCGAACCACGATTGCGCGTTCATCCCGGTGCCATCGACAACCGGAGTCTCTTCTACTATCCAGACCGCTCTGCTCTATTTTGCCCTTCGGCTGCCGTTGTAAGAGAATGGACGCTGTGTTTTCAGACGGCAATCAAACGGACTTCCAAGTCAATCGACGCAGCTCCGCAGCCTGAGTATAGTCAATGAAAGGACGCATCCCGAAAGGGAAAAGGAAAAGAGATCGCTGGATGGTGGAAGATTGTTTTGGTCGCAAAGAAATGATCTAGCTTCGCATAACGCTGACGTTAACGGTTCCTGTAAACGTATGAGAAATACTGAGGCCGGCGGGATGATATCCCGATCGGAAGAGCACCACAGGGTGTCATAACCACCTTCTAATGAACATGAGCGACTCGTTGAGCAAGAAAGTGGCGCTGGACCCGCTGACTCGGGCGACGCAATCGAATTATCGAGGTTGAAATTTCTGGGTTTGGAGAACTGCCGTGGGATTGATCAAGTCGTTTCAACGTAGTCCAAGAACAGTATCTGGCCTGATGAGTAATGTACTGTATTGCAGTAACAGCAGCCACTTCATACTTTAGCGATGCCGGTGAGGATGCATATTGGCGTGGCGCGACAGTCCCGGCTATGAGCGCAGACTCATGTAAGTAGGAGTATCGTGCCATTCCGAGTGTCTGCTTAGTGAAGCTGTGTGTGTGCGCATCTTTTGCGGATCCTTGCAATGTGCTTAACTTCTCCCTCCTTCCACCCGTCGATGAAATCTCATAACGTTCCATTGTTCTCCTTGTCCTAAGAATGGTTCTGTCATACAAATGATACCGCGCTACGGAGATTCGGCACCTTGGAACGGCAGAGTAGGCATTAGCAAAATCGACCGTAACCACCCGTGGCACGGCACACAACCGAACTGGATGCTACATATCATACATAGCAATACTACGATATTTTGGTACAAGTGAATCAAGATACAGCATATACACAGACGACCCGCACGAGTTACAACAATACAGCGATTGAGCGAGACTAGAAGAGTGGATGCTCTCCTACAGGCGGATCGTCGCCGGCAGGTTTCGACGTTTCGCATCAACGATGTTCACAGTCGCCCTGCCATCTAACATCGTTCTCACCTGTCCAAATCCTATGAAACGATCGGGGTTCGTCAGAAGCTTCATGTCCCGTAAACGCATCCCAGAATGCTCCGCCCAGGCTTGATAGAAGGAAATAGCTCCCAACAACCGCAGCATAGGCAGCAAACACCTCAGCATCGACCTGGTGGTTCTCCAGAGCTTGCTGGTGGCCAAGAAGACTGGGCTTGCCGGACAATAACAAGGACGACGTGGCTTGCCAGAGACCATCGGCCGTGGATGACGGAGGCTGGAGATGTTTACTGGCCCTGGGCTCTGTAGGAAGCTTGATGACTGTAACTGGAGTCTCTGAGTGGGTCTTGTCCTGATGCTCTGGAGCATGCAGGGTCAGAGCAGTCGTGCCTTTCCAGAGATGGATGTGAGGACTACGGATACCGATCAGGATGGAGATTAGAGGAAGATGACAAAGGAAACGGACGCATCCGAGTTGCCCACAGCGGAGGAATTTGCGTCTCCGAGCGCATTGCCTCTAAGATGTGGTGCACCATTCCGTGGTCCAAGACTCGAGGCACTACACGGCATCAACGCCTTGGTGTCATCGAGGGCGGTATCCAGCTTTCCGTCCTGGAGGGGAAACTAAGCCGGGAAGGGAGCCCAAAGTAAATGACAACGAACCATGTCTGCAAATACACTCAACGAAAGCTCGGGAACAGTCACAGTATGAACGCTCGTGAAGCCTCCGCCCAGCGGAGATGAAAGACCACCCCAAAACCTCGAGTTGGCGGCCAAATCCTTGCGCACATTCGGCGTTACCAGGAGGGAAGCACGATGACTGGATGTTGATGCGAGAGAGGAGGACAGTGCAGCGGACGGCGTTAGTGCGCGAATCGGCGGTGACAGCGGGACGCGTGGCGACAGCAAGACAGTATGTGCGGGACCGCGGCTCTCGAGCAAGGCCCGCTTGAGCGCCGCTATCTCCTGCCGCAGAGCAGTATTCTCGTTCTTTGCGCTGCCGAGCTCCTCGCAGATGGCTGTGAGGACCTGGTCTCGTTCGGCGATGTTCTGCTCCAAAGTGGAGATATACTCTAGAGCACAGTCAGCTTGATGCCGTCGGAGAGAAGCTAGGGTACCCTTTCTCCGGACACGGAAATTACGTGCGCTGATCTTGTTCCGCAGCTGGCGCTTCTCCTTGCTCGTCATTTTCTGAAACACTTCAGGCGGTGGGCGCCAGTCGTCCGGAACTTCGTCTTCTTCTTCGTCTTCAGGTTGAGGGAGCAGCATCGAGGCCCGGAAGGTGGCACGGTTCTCTTTGTTAGTAGGTGCGGGACGCGAAGAAGGCGGCGGAGACCCCTTCTTCACCCCTCCGCCCACAACAGTGCCCTTCCGGTTCTTCAATCGGACCGCAGATCTGACGAGATGAGTTGCCGCCTCGTCATCCTCGGAGTTGGAGAAGGGTTCGGGTGAGAAGTCAGAGAACGCGACGGAACCCGGCGAATCGACCAGCTGTGGGTCAATGGTGAAGACGAGGCGAGTGTCGGGAAGAGAACGAGGAGCAGAGATCGACGGTGTAGAGTGAATACCGTTCAAGGAGCCCGCGAACAAGTTGTATGGGGGCGGGATGAGAGGCAGGGAGAGGCTGGGATCAGCACGCAGCGCGGCATTGTTCTGTTCCTCGACTAGGTCAAGGGGATCTAGTGTGTTTGAAGCGATGTAGACGTTTGGTTCAGGACCCGGTAGGATCGAGATGAAGGCGCTTGGGCTAGTACCGCGCGAGGATGAAGGGGCGGACGTTGAGGGTAGCGACGCGAACAGCTCGGTGTGGAAGATGTCACTGAGCTCAGAGGGAAAGTCGCTATCGAATACAGGCGGCGTAAGAAGAGGTGTTTGTGATTCGAGCTGCATCTTACTATTGGGTGTTATGTCGGTGGTCAGAGAGCGACCAGGGTTTTTGTAATGCTCGGTTAGATGACCGCCATACGCTGAGTCACTGTGATGACACGCGGAGTGACTCGGCCACGGCAACCTCTCCCTTTCCTTCTCCGACATTTCACGACATCCATGGACACGCACAAAGCACGAGGGCCCTGCCAGGAGTTTCTGTGGAGGCGATGCGGAGTGCGCGGGGCGCATTATGCCCGGTATCTAGTTCCAGCCTCTGATGTCGTTTCCAATTCTCTGTTTTCACTAGCACACCATGCTCTTGTTCTCTACTGGGCAACAGAGGCCTGATCTTTGTCGAAAAACACCGCTCCCTTCTCTTTTCAAAAATACCTCAGTTATCAGAAAGCTGTCCCAATCAGCACTGCGTCGTGGACTACGCAAGGCATCGACGGGTGCACACCGCCTCTCGTATCCGATCTAGCACCTGTATCCTGGTTTACGTCTTTATCCTCGCCTACAAGGCCGACTTCCTCTTCAAGCAGCCCACGACCCCTGGTTCCGTATTGAGCGGATGAACGCAATCTGATTAGGGCTATGGAGTGATGACGAGCACTCAATCCAAGTCACTCAGTGCTGGCCTCGGGCGCTTCCAGTGGGGCGATGTTGCTCTCCCTCTCTCATACATCGAAACGTGCACCTCGCGACTCCCTCGTTCAAGGCAGCCCCAACTGATCCTCGAGTGGCGCTGAAATCGAAACATGGCCTGATAATTGTACTCGTTGTACCATCCCGCAGCTATCGGTCTACGCTTTCCCTTCCTTCACACTGCACCCCCGCACTTGACACTGACCACGATGCCTCTCACCGCCTCTGACGAGAAAGTGATCAACGTGGGCCTTGGACATGGACACGTGTTTGAGGGCACATCCTAGTCGTCTGACCCTTTCTCGAATCGGTTTTATTACACATGTTAGCAGTTCACAAGTACGAACCTCTGATTTGATTCTGTGATCTCTGTCGCTGTGTGCGAATCTCGCGGCTCCATGCATCGTCGATTCCAGCTCAGGAGTCGGCAGGCAAAAAATGTCGCATTTCTCATGCGTTAGAAGTGGATGAGAACCCGATCCTGAGGAGCAGATTCCGCTGGAGGTGAACGTGATGAGATGACCTTGTGCGACGACGCAAAATCTGTCCCAAGTGAGCGTGGTAATGCGCGTCGAACGTCGAGGGTTGGTGCGACAAAAGAGACTTCAATCGTCCGCGACTCGATTCTGATGCCAGCCGGCTTTCAACCCCAGTTTATGGATGTCATTCTCCAATGAGGTGCGGATGACGTCTTGTTTTGTACCCCAGGAGAAGTACTACCGAGTAGTGTCCGTACTTGTGTGGGCAAGGTGGCATAAACGCTTATCCTCTCTCTCTCTGTGTGATCCACTCTTAGAATACTCTACGTGAAGAAGTGCAGATAGATCGCACATGCTCAGAAAGAGGGAAAAGGCGCTAGCAAGCTGAGTGATCCGCCCGTCCAAGCGACCTAAATGAGTCCAGAGCCGCTGGTTTAGGATGTGGGAACGGATGGCGCAATATGCGATTATACTGTGACTTATAACTTGAGAAAGGTCTTCACTCGATGTATGTAGTAGACGTCCTTCGGGACTAACCAAGAGGTTAGCTCCAGAAGCTCGCTGAGTTCATCGTGGCCATTGAGTCCACAGCCGTCAATAACTGCTGGATGTCTTCCTGCACGTTCCCTGAAGCGCAAAACAGATGATGATTGAGACATGACTTGATCCTGCAGACGTACCAGAGGTCGCCGACCAGTCCCAGGCTGGCAGCAGCTCTTGCTGTAGTTTGTACATGGTCGTTTCCAGCTTCGAGAAGAATCAGATCTTGACATATCTATGATTCCGGGCACTGGCTCCACTCACCGAAACCAGCGCGCCGGGGATCTCATCCACGACAGATTTCAGACCGTCACGATAGCACACGACTGCATCAGGCTCGTCGGGCTCGTATACCTCGTGTCCTGATAGCTGAAACGTCTCGAGTGCTCCAGGTGCGCCGTCTTGCGTTCCCAGATCATAAAACTGGTCGCTAGGGCAAGATTCCTACGTCGCAGCATCAACAATCGGTGACTAGAGGTTGCAACCCATGCCATGCTTACTCACATTCTGCGGCCGACTCCACGCTGGCTTCGTCCCGGCTCCAAACTTGTCCACGATCAACCTCCGCGCGTCCTGTACTTGTCGCTCCAGAGTCTCCATTTCCACATCTGGTAGCTCCCGGATCTGACCGTGTAAATCGACGACGAGACCTTTGTGCGTTGTGGGGTGGCGGAGGAACGCCAGGGAGATGCCTGAGCCGCCCATCGAGTTGTGAGATTGAATCACCAGAATGTCGGTGGAGGCTGGTTTGAATGCGCCGCCCGGAATCTCCAGCGCTGGCATATTGGTGGTCAGAGAACAAGAGTAGATGTAACATCGTCGTCATGATCATTGCCCCAATCACGTTGTGGGATCTGCGACCAGAAGGAGTTTAATCATAAAGGCGCCCTCATCTCGAGAGTGAACGAGATTTCTGTGTATGTCCAGAACGGCATTGAGGCGGGCATGAATCCACGAGATTTGGGCAAAAGGGATGTGGTGGAGAAGCCCAGGCCCGGAGGCTCGTCAGGGCGAATGATTGATGATCAAGCTGATGCAAAATCACCAATGAATGAGCGCATCTCAGTCTTGACCTTATGCACGACACTTGCCAGTTTCCCCGGGTCGACCTCGCCGTCTAGGTTCCAATCGATCACCTCTTCCACATCTCGTTCTATGAACCAGCCGCAGTCACATCTCCTTCATTCAAAGACTGCAAAATTTACCTGGCCGCGGTTTCTCTCTTCAATACGTCCAAGGCTGTGACTCTCGACGCCTGGGGCACCTCACCCACTCATCTACCCACTATCCGGACGCGAACATATAGGGATACTTGTGAACCCGCACTCGGTTCGCGCATCTACAAAGCTCGCTGACCGGTTTCACTGGCCTTGTCTGCCCGTCCATGGAAGGAGTGTCTTGCTAAGCTCACGGATATCAACGCTTCCTTTGCGACATTGGTACCCAGTGGCAGTCTCCACCGTTATCGCTTTTGTCCGACGTATGTACTGTCGCCCCATGCTACCAAACTAACAGTGCGCTTACATACCTTCAAGCTCTTCTTCCTACTTTCTCGTCATTTCTAAACGACATGGAGATGCAAGGGCTGCTCGGCGAACATTCGACTTGACGAGACTCCCTAATCAACATCATCTTCAGAGGGATCGTCTCCAGCTCAGCCAGTCACTTAAACGAAATACGGTGCAGAACAGGCTGTACCTACTCAATCAGCTGGGCCGTCGCCGATTTCAGTCAAGGCTTTCGACGAGACGCCCTCCAGATCAGGATATCCTCTCCCCTCCATCTGCTGACGACGTACTCATACAATGCCCCCATGGGACGAACAATGAAGCTTCTCACAAGCCAGTCATGCTCGGCCTTTCGAAGCACGCCTGTCGATCTGCTCGCCCCAGACCATATGGACTTGCATCGTATCCTTTCTTATTATCTCAAGCGCATGAATGTTAGCGCATGGCGGCCTCTCATTCTCCCGAGGAGCTATTCTCCTTCACATCAGCTCCACTAGCACTAAACTCATCTTCCCTCGAGCGCTTGACGTCTTCCGTGCGAGAGCTCTCTCCGACAACATCGGCCATCCTGCCTGATCTCGACCTATTTCCCATGTTCCCCAGCGTCACCCAACCGCTGTCCTCAATTCTTGGTGCCATCCAATAATCTCTGGATACGCTTTTGCTTGTGTGGGTCATTGAACGCGAGTAAAGGCCCGAATCGCCGTCGTACCTCATGGATCCTAGTACCGTGCCAGTATCGATACGACGGATGTGGTCATCCATATCCACTAGCAGAGATAGTCTACATTATCTAGGCGGATGTCGACCGTCGGGACCTTTCGGGTTCAAGACGATGACCTTGACGCCAGGAAATCCTAATCGCACCAGGAGAAGATGGACAGTCTGCACGCGATCTCCCGCTCTCCGAACAGAGTGATGGCGGATCGTGACATGCAAATGGATCGGACACCAAGCCGTGCGAACTGCCTGAGCTGCAGTGACGTGGAACTCCGGGCAGCGATGATCTGGACTGACGCAGGAAGGTCTGATCCAGCTCGGCCAAGTCAGATGGGGTGAAGCGGCGGCGCTGGTGTCGGCACGAAGCCGCCACATTCTTCCGCCCTTCTTCAGCTCTTTCTCTGGGCTCCAGACCCCCTTCGCGGAAGAACTGTCCCAGGATTTCCGTCGCCTCATGTAGCAACTCCGTCCAAAGTCCTTGATCCGAAGCCCCTCTTACGACCTTCGAGTGTTCCTTGTGCAGACTCGATCTCAAACTGGTCACCGATCTGTTCGTCGTGTCCGCATTTACTGTGTTTCTTGTGTTCATCTGTCAGTACAGGCATCGTTTACACCATCGCCCCGGCTTGCACTTGATTTGGAGAGACTTTGGCCGAAGTCCGCGTAGTTCACACCTCTATCATTCTCGGATCCGCATGTCATCCAAGACAACGAAGGGCTTCCGGTTACGAAGGTGTCTGGACAATATGCGTTTTCTCCGTCCCCAGCGAGGGCAGTGGGCTCCCTATCGCACTTTCCCTTCCGCTTGACAACAGCATGCATCCTGACACATGGCCGGCTTAGGAGTGTACTGTCGGATGTGAATGTCTTGACAGATCGTCTCTGCTCGTAGCGACCGACTTTCGAGGATGCGAGGGACGACAGACCGGCCTGAAGCTAGATACCGGACTTCACGGGTGCCTCATCTCCAGCCTGGACTATTGCAACACACGTAGACGTCGGGCGTAGCGAGCTTTGCATGGCGCAGAAGCAGATGAACATGAAGGTGCAGCAATGGCTCAGAGATACGGGGCATCGGGTCTCAACTTGCGGCGCGATGCAGTGTCTAGACCTGCAGCTTGAGTTCCGTTGTGAGATCGATGCAGATGGACGACACGGCTCGACGAAACGACGGTAGTGTGAAGGGATCCGAAAGTTTGGTCGGGTCGATCCTCAGCACATCCTCTATCTACGGAGTTGAACAGGTAGGAACTAGCGTATCCAGCGCGTGTACTTCCCTCCCCGGAAACCTTGACCTTGACTTTTCTTGTTATCCTACTACATTTCGCCGTTTTTCCCATCACATATCCGCTACCAACATATATGTCCCATCTTATGTGAAGTGGTCATCACGCTATGATGCGTCGTCATCGATCTAGACGATCAACCTTCTGCCTCGAATAGTTAGTCATAGTATCGTCGACCCCTGCAGGCCACTATTTGCAGCAGAAAGAACGTGCAATCTCAGCGTGTAGTAGTTGTCTCCAAGTGCAATAGATCCCATAAGTTATCACTATAAACAATATGTATATGAGCGGATGTAGATGCAGGAACCCAAGCCCAGACGCGTCTAGAAGTTCTCTGCGCGCAAGATCAGCAACTAGATCACAAACGCCAACCGCAAAATACCGACCTTTGCCGAAAAAGTACCGCGTGCCATCCGGGTTGCTGTATGCGTTGCACTTTTCGCCAAGCGCATTGGCAATAGCCGCCGGACCACAGAAAAAGACTCCAACGTCGGATTCGGGGTGTTTCTGGCTGATGGACGCGAAGATCTTGTCCCAATTCGGTCGTCCAAAGTGGGTTGGAGCCCGCAAAGAAGTTATCGCATCCTTCTCAGCACCAACGTCGTGCACCTGGGTCCGTACATGAGCGCGTTATATAACACACGAAAAGACAGAACGCACGATAATGTTGTTCATATCGTCCTCCTTGATCTTCTGGGTCAGGTAGATGTTGATCTCGATCCGATTCTGCGTGTCCTGCGTCTCGATCGCTTGCAGAAGCGAGTGGAACCATTCGGCGGTGCCAAAGTCGCGGATCACCCAAGTGAAATACACCTTCGACAGTCGAGTGGGCTTTGCCCCGCCAAAGTTGTTCATGCGATACCAGATAGCTTTAAGGATGCTGCAATGGTATGAGCATTGAGATATGCACAAGATCCGGACACATACGAGGCAAACGGTGTGACACCAATACCAGCGCCAACCAGTAGAACCGTCTCGTAGTTCAAGAACTCCTCGGAACATGTTCCAAACGGACCGTCGACCATGACCCGCGGCATCGCCCGGCTGACTGGAGGTTGCACGACTTTGCTTTCAGACGCGGAGCCTTCACCCCGCTTCGGAAAATCGCATCCGACGGCTTTGGCCATGGCTGTCGTCCAGTCTCCCTCTACGCGAATGTGGACAGAGATATAGTCTTCTTGAGGAGCGCTGTTGACGACTCGTCAGCGACAAAGGGCTGTGCAGGACACACGGACACACCTGGTCAAAGTGAATGGGTGCCACTGCCAATACGAGACCTCGGGGCAATTGACAAAGATGTACTGCCCTGCCAACGTCGTCGTCTTCTCCTTCTTGATCTGCAGCTCCATCACATTCGAGGGATGCTGGATCACCTTGGACAGGTACGTCGTGTGCCGCGAGCGGACTTCACGCAAGATACGCTCATAGATCCAGATCAGACCGCCGACGATCCAGTATCGCTGTAGCAAGTCAGTATGGCGCCAGTGAAACTATAAGAAGCACAAACCCAGAACACGCCGATGGTCTGGTACGAGCAGTATGGGGGACGATCAGGCTTGATCATGCAAAACATGCCATGGAGCTGCCACAAGAGGAAGAATGGGATGAAAAGATGGTGCGTGTACCAGAACTTCTCAAATCCACCGTTGGGCAGACGGCGCCGCTTTTCCATCGCATACCACACCATGACACCAAGGCAGACCCACATCACCCAGCCCGTCCAGAGCGGCCCGATGATGATGTTGGCGTACAGGAAGAAAGCGACCCGCGCGCCGATGGTCTTGAGCGAGGTGTCGGCTTTCGTGAGCCGGTATAAGTTGACGACGTGGGCGAGTGTGTGCACAAGCGACCAGATGACGATGGACCAACCGGTTGCCTTGTGCAACGTCAGGTTCTCATCAAACGGAATGACAGTTCCCAGGGGCGTGCGGCGGAGCACAGAAACGAAGCTGCGGCACACGGGGAACAAGATGAAGATGACATCGATATGCAGAAGAACGGCTGCCGACCGGGCGATGACTACAGCGGCATCTTCAGGAAACGGAAGATGACCCGGAGAGAGAAGGAGAGAGACGAACCGAATGTGGGCCCAAACTCGGCGCGGGCCCCAAACAAGTTGTCCTTGAGGCTGTAGTGAAGGGCCCCCAAGATGAGTGCGACGAGATGTAGGATGATGAAGACGGCAAAGAAGATCTTGCGCTGGCCCTCGTTGATGAGCCACACACTCCATGTCGAGACTGCGTTCGGTTGCACCGCTGGGAGAGTGGAAGATGCATCGATCTGCTGAAGACCTTGCAGTCGCCAGCGTTCAGTCTTGTTGCGTTGAAGATGACTGCGTTCGGGGGAAGAGCGATCCATGCTTAATCTGTGCGTCTTGAGAGTGCGTTCGAAGGAGCGATGACGAGCTTGGCTCTGTGGAAGGAAAGAAGGGAAGGACCAGCCTGCAGCAGTGAGAGGATGGCGGGAGGAGATGAAGA